CTAGTCATATATTTAGTCTGTTTCTATATTGTAAGTTTGAAAATCTATCTCCTGAGAACATCTGTTTGCATATGAAACAGAAGTGTCAGTACATTCCAGCCTTGGTTTATAGCTCAGGAGAAACAAACCTTTCATTTAACCAACACCCTGTAGGTGAGCAATGCAGGTATCGCTTGATAACGCTGCCAAGTTCTCTCTTGGATTTGAAGATACGAGTTTGCATTCAGAAAGCAATTAATCTAATTACTGTTGCACTCCAGAACAGAGCCATTCTTCAAGGCATACTTACCACTAAAATTATTGTGAATGGAATGGTTGAAAGCTGATATTTTCAGTGACGGAGACTGTAGTGCACGTCTATGGAAATATGCACATGGTTATGGGGCATGTTCCTGTTAAGCCTGTATTTTGTGTGTCCTGAGATGATTCCGTTCTCTCACCACATTTCCATGTTCAGTCTGCTACGGAATCTCTCAGTGATAGAGTTCACCGCAAAGCCACCTGGATCTCACTTGGTGTGAACCCTAAGATAAATATGCATTGAAGGATAAACGTAAGGATTCTGATGATACATATACCACTACTCATCTGGTTGTCCAGATGACTCAGGATATGCTGAGAATAACTGTTATAGGCCATCACCTCAATGAAAACCAAGATTTAGATTCTCATAGAGAAGTTGCATATCCTTGAGAAACTGTCCAAGAACTCGAAGAAAGGCTAGTTTAGCTGGGAAATATAAACTGCATTTGCTTTCAGGAGTCTTGGGTCTAAGTCCAGCTCTGCCACTAACTAGCTATGGAAAAGTTGCTTGGACATCTGTTTCTTCATCTATAAACCATTCCTACATATCCCATTTACCTCACAGGCTCACTCTGAAAGTGAATGAGACAGTATATTTGAAGGTGCTAAAACAATCCTTCCACTGCTTACAAATGGAAAACACAATCACAATGGCAGGGGCAGGTGGCTGCATTACCTCCCAGTGCTTTAAAATGTCCTGGCCAGTCATCCCTAAATAGCATGGGACAGATGTGCACCTCTCCTGGCCCTTACAGTTCCTCCTGTCCATGCGTCTCCTGAGCCAGTGAGGGTGGTATAGTTAATGGTTAGTGGGCTGAGAGGATCCCAAGAGGAAGTTAGAGCCCATTTGTTGCTCTCTGCTGCCCTCTTCAGTACAGAAGAAGGCATCGAGTGGGGTCTCAGCAGCAAGTGAGGAAATGCTATTGGGCAAGTCCAAGGCTTCTGGGCATCTCTGCTCAATATTTCTGCCCCAAGCTCCTCCTCAGAATCCCACTGGCCTGAGCTGACCCTGAGCCACTGCCGCCCCTCAGGCCTCCACGCCTGTGTGAGCCCCTCTGTTTATCTTGCAGTCTGCACAATTCCTTCTCCCTCCCTCTTGCTTGTTAGGGCTTAGTTAAGATGGATTTCAGGGCCCAGAGACTCCATAAAGTTTCCTCCTGTCTATTGACCTGCAGTGGAATGGCCAATCACACATTAGCCTCTGAGGTGATAGAGACACACTTTGTTGATCTGATTCCAGTTTAATGTCACAGGTCTATTTTAATGTCCAATTCTATTTCAGCCATTAGTGTTTGCATTCATCTTTCGAACATCTTTAAGGGCTATCACATTAAATAAGTAATAACTTCCTAAAATAGCTTCTTTCTTGTTTTCCAATCACAGTCTCATTATCCTTTAGACTGGAGAAGTAATGTTCAAACGAACCACACAGGTGCACAGGAGAGGACGCAGTGGGGTCAGGGAAGAAAATAGAGAAACTTATTTTAACATAGTATATTTAGTTTCATTCTTTTTGAATTTCAATTTTGGGCAATGTTTTACAATATACATAATATATTTATTAGTGGACTAGTACAGGCATATATTTGGGGGGAATGATAATTTTATTTCATTTATTTATGTTGTTAAGGGATATACAATTATAAAAGTCTGAAAAGACCTCTCTTCTAGAAGAGTATCATCCCATTTGTGTTTCAGAATCACTAGGGAGCTTAAAAAAAATTATTGTGCCCCAGAGTGGATGTTTAAAAACCACCCCTGGTGATTCTGATGTGACCCCCATCACCTGCAAAATAATCACACTGTTCTCCAGACTGCAAGCTCATGTCTATCCATCTTGTTCACCACTGTATCTTCAGGGCCTAGTACACTGCCTGACACAGATGTTCCACAAGTACTTGCTGAAACAATGAACACATGACCCACAATCCAGAAACATCCACTGCTAACTCCCCCAGCCTTTGTTTTCATGCTTAATGTTTTTATATAATTGTTTTATATGTTTCAGAACCCATCATACATAAAATTGAGTAAATTATATGATCACTTTTAATACATAGGTGTTTAATATTTAAAGTGACTAAAGTGTTTTAGCACTGTGTAGCATTTAGCGTTTCCTATTATAAATTGCACTACGTAAAAAAAAATCATTGTGCATAAAGCTTTCTTCTACACATCCAATTATATGCATAAAATAGAGTTCCAGATGTGGGATTTCTAAATCAAAGATTAAGAACATTTCAAAGGCTGTAGCTACTATGGGAAGGACAAATTAACACTGACCCAGGAGCAGGAAACTGGTTTAAGGTGCAAAGGCTTATAAGGAGTTTGTGATCCAGCAGTGAGGTTCCTCCTGGGAGCTTTGGGTGTGGCAAAAAGACCTGGAGTGTTGACTGAGTTCTAGTTCCTGTTTTTTTCACTTACTGGCTGTGACACTTTCACTTTTAACCCTAGGTTTCTTCACCAATAATATGAATATTCATAGCTGCATGACAGGCCTGCTGATTCTAAAGCTCTATTAGATGTTAGAGGTAAAAGAATTCATTTTCATACTTAATATAGTTCCAAAGGCATAAAAACTTTAGCGTCTAGGAGTGTTTCCTATGAAAAGAGGCTCTCCCTCCTCTCTTGAATACTAATTCCTTCAGTGAGGGCCCAGGAAATCCCACATCTGCAGACTCTTGAAGAAGGTTCAGAGATTTTTCAGGACTCTGGTCAATGGGTCATCTCAGAAATAGCAAGGATAAGTCTTAGTTTGCAAAAGGTCATACTAACAAAATGATCAGAAGCAGACTGTGCACTCTGTTTTCGTGTTTATGGTGTGCCAATAAAACCAGTCAGGCAAGTTCCCACAGTGCTCCTCCCCTGCTCTTCAAGGACTGCTGACTCCAGGAAACACCGTGCAATGTCCTTTGGAAAATTTGTTTGGAACCCCAGGCCACAGTCTGCATTTCATCTTCGGTATAGGGTTGTAGTCCTCAAACTCAGGTGTGTATAAGTGCTCAAAAACCATGCAGATCCCCTGCCTCAAGCCTTAGAGATTCTGATTCTGTAGGTCTGGGTGGAGCCCAGGAATCTGTATTTCCTTCCGTGATTCTGATGTGGGCAACCTGAACGCCAGGTTTGAGGAAAGGCTGGCTTAGTAGACAGCCCTGGACAGGGAACTGAAAGACCCGGGTTTGTGGTGAGATAGTTCCATTTACATCAGCATTAACCTCAGAAGTCATATCACCTCACTGGCCCTGTTTTTTCATTTTAAAACTTCATTTTCATAACTGGGGGAGCAACACTCATTCATCATAAGGCTGGTTGCCCAGAAGATAAAATTAGAAACTGTAGAAAGCAAAAGCACCACTATAACTCACAGCACATGTCTGAGGTCCTGTAATTTTGGTTCCTGCCTTTCACACTGAGATAACCATGAACATCTGGTGAGTTGACACAGTCTCCCCAACATGAGCCTCTGCTCTGAGATGAAGACAGTCTTCTCCTTCGGGATGTTTTGCAGTAGCAGAGCAATGCTGGCCTCCCACCAAGCAGTGCGCCTGCATTTCCTGCGTGGCAGTCCTTGTGCTCGGAGTTCCGGCTACTGTGATCGGTTTGGGGATTACCTTTGGGACGCCTGGAAAACCTGCAAGTATGTCTCCCCTAGGGGACAGATGTGTCAATAATTCACACAACCTATGAGAGTATATTAACCCCCCATATTATTTCCAAAATGGGTGACTCTTCTGATAATAAGTGTTTGGCATATAGCATGTGCTACCACTGCTCCAGACACTTCACACATCTTTATTTCATTCTTTTCAACAATGTTACGAGGTGGCTACTGTTACCGCCATTATGAACAGAGACTCAGGGAAGTTAGGTGGCTTGCCCAAGGTCATATAGCTGGTTAATCAACAAGCCAGGGTTCCAATCCAGGTCTGCCCAACTCCAAAGCCTACACAGGACATGGTTTCTACCTTTACAGAGTTTCTGCTGTAATCAGGGAGACTACAGAAACAGTGGTGAACAAGACAGAAGAGCATGTAATTCAATATTAAATTCGCTGTTAATTATTGTTGCTAAGTGGAGAAAAATCACTCACAACCACAATGTCAAGCACCTCATGAAGGGATACATGTGGGGTCATCTGCCTCTTAATTATCAACCAGGTCCCAACTACAAAACTTTCAAGTTGCAAAATGCACCTTTACCAAGCCCTCACCAATGCTACACCAGGTATCTAAAATATTTCCAGCCTGTTTACCACTCTACACACCAAACCAGAATTTTCTGGAGATCCATTATTTTAGGTATAAATATATTTGAGATATGTGTTATCAATCTGCTATTTACATCTTAACTTCCATGAAAATTTTATAGTACTTAAACATTTTTTAAAACACCATCACAGCCCAGCCAGTGTGGCTCAGTGGATCGAATGTCATCCCATGGACTGAGAGGTCCTGGTTCGATTCCCAGTCAGGCCACATGCCTGGGTTGTGGGCTCCATCCCCAGTAGGAGGCATGCAGGAGGAGCCACTTGATGTTTCTCTCTCACATGGACGTTTCCATCTCTCTTTCCCTTCCTCTCTCTCTAAAAAATCAATAAAAACATATTTAAAAATAAACACCATCACATCATTTTGACAAACTCCCACTCATTTTTTTTTTTTTTTGATTTTGAGAATAATTTAATATTTTAACTTCAGCATACAACTACATTTTAATGTAATTATATTAAATGTAAAGAAACGGATCCTTACAAAACCAAAATAACCCACAGGCCATGAGGTTGGTTTCACTTTTTCCTTTTTTTTGTTTAAACAAATGTGCACCACGATGGTTCAACGAGTAAGGCAAATGACATGAATGTGAAAGCTACAGTTTGCAATACACCACATCTAGAATCCAGAGAAGGCGAATTAAACAGAGGCGGCAGTCATTCTAATTAAACAATAAGGACAAGTTGGTTTGCAGCATCAAAACTGTGGATTTAAGCTTCTTTTCTCTTAATGATCAGAGGTCCCACGTTGTCTCCGGTCTCTTCGTTGTGTTTTGTGTGAGCTCCATCACAGAATGGGAACTTTTTGGACCTCCAACAGCGACAGTACACAGCTTTATCTCCCAAATCCTCCATATCAAAAGCATGTACAATCTTGGGGTTGTCTTTCTGAATGTGAAGGTTGACCATAGATTTGTTGCGATGATCTTTAACATAAAATCTTTTGTAAGCTAGATAACCAATTGCGGCTGTCCCAGCAGCAATGGTAACTGCTGCGATCCATTCAACTCGTATGTTGGAATTCAGACTCATGGCGCCGTCACTTGCAAGGCGTGTGCACAGGACCCTGAACACAAACGGGCTTGTGCGGACAGACAGAGTCTAGGTGCGAAAGGCGTCTTAAGGGCACCGACTCCAGGCAGCTACGGCGCAGGCGCCGCCCCACTCATTTTTTGAGTGTACAGATTCATTGTATTTAAACAGTGATCTCAATATAACTCACAGTGTCTCCTAGAGGTTGTTATACCAAGTTATCTTTGTTCCTATTTCTAGCTAAGAAAATAATGGAGGGGGCTAGGAATATGACTCAGCCACAAAAAAGAATGAAACCTTGTCATTTGCCACAGCATGGATGGACCAAAAGGATATTGTGCTGAATGAAATAAGTCAGACCGAGAAAGACAAATTCCACATGATTTCACAGATATGTGGAATCTAAACAAAATAAACACAGAAACGGACTCATAGACACAGAGAACAGACTGGAGGTTACCAGATGGGAGGGGGTTGTGGGACTGGGTGAAAAAAGCCAAGGGATTGAGAAGTACAGACTGGCAGTTACAGAACAGTCACGGGATGAGAAGTTCAGCTTCGGGAATAGACTCAGTGAGGTCAATAATATTGTAGTAACTATGGACGGTGGCAGATGGGTACTCAACTTACGGGGTGATCAATGAGTAAGTTAGATAGATGTCTAGACACTATGCTGTACACCTGAAATAAATATAATGTTGACTGTCAACTGTAATACAAAAATTTTTTTAACCAAAAAAAAGAAAATAATGGAGGGGGCTCCATGGAACCAATCCACAGCAAAGCTCACGCCAGAGCCCGGGCTTGCTGACTCCCCTCCCAGACACCTTCAATTCCTTCTTAGGCAGGAGTGAGTCCACACTTGTTTGCCCAAAGTCAGTGGTATTGCAAGAAAGGCAAGCTAAATTGGCCTGGAGAGTTTTGGAGCGTGGGGGAGAAAAAGAAAGAAAAAGAGAATAAATAACAGGGAAAAAAAACCCACAAAAACAATGGAAAGAAGCAGGAAGAGGAAGGAAGATGCAGATTGTTATATTACTACATTCTTAAAGCTTGATTTTCAAGGTTATAGATGCATACACCAACATCCAGCACTTGTCTTAGAAACATTTTCTAGATTGGCCATATCGACAGTGTAAAACAGCTTCACAGCACCTTGGCTTCTTGTGTGAGGACCTTACGACTTGTTTGCCGCCCTCCCTGCTCTGTGGCGGCAGGCTGGACTGCAGCCAGGCCGAAGATGAGTCTGCTGCCTACTGTGGTGAGGTGGACAAACAATCAAAATGAAAGAATAGGCACCAGCAACTGATAACTAAAATTTAGAATTATAATTAAAACATTACCATATATGAGAGATTTTCATTAGAAATAATGTTTTTATTTAATATAGGCCAAATGCCCAGCCATCTCCCACAAAACTTGATATTCAAGTGTCCCAGCCAGAAGACTTGGACATATGTAGACAAGATGTGTAATGCAAGAAACGACTGTGGTGATTGTTCAGAAAAATCAGGTAAAAATAAAAATATGTAATTGATACTTTAATGGGTTCGATGACATAAATGAACCCATACTTAGAAAACTTCCTAAGAATATTTACATTCACAATTAAGCAATTCCATCATTTCCAGTAGTGTACATATTTCAAGTAGGTGAGTTCTCTAGCTAAAAAGCAAATAAAGCCCTGGCTGGTTTGGCTCAGCGGTTAGAGTGTCAACCTGTGGTCCAAAGAGTCCCGGGTTCAGTTCCCGCTAAGGGCACGTACCTCGGTTGCAGTTTGTCCCTGGACCTGGTTGGTCGTGCAGGTGGCAGCCACTCGATGTGTCCCTTACACATCGATGTTTCTCTCTCTCTCTCTCTCTCTTCCTCTCTTTCCTTCCCACTCTACCTGAACAAAAAGTGGAAAAGAGCCCTCGGGTAAGGATAAAAATAAAAAAATAAAAAAATAAAATAAAAAGCAAATAAAGCCAGCCCAGCTGGTGTGGCTCAGTGGTTGAGCGTCAACCTATGCACCAAGAGGTCACTGGTTTGATTCCTGGTCAGGGCACATGCCTGGGTTGCAGGCCTGCAAGAGGCAGCCAATCCATGTTGATGCTTCTCTCATCAATGTTTCTATCTTCTTCTGCCTTCCTCTAACTGCCCCCCCAAAAAAGGCAAAGCAAATAAAGCCAGATTAACAAAGGAAACACTGATCTTGATGGATAACTCTTATCTGCTATTAAATTCCTTTTGGATTTCTTTGGAAATTTTGGTAAAGATCAAAGAAAAGTCTGGTGAATATTTTGGCTCTCAAAGATTTTGTTAATTCTCACCCGAGGACAGGGGCCAGTGATAAAACCTGCAACCCAGGTATGTTTGTACGTGTCCTTGATCAGGATTCAAACCCAAGGCCCTTCGGTCTGCAGGCAGGCCAATGCTCTAACTGCTTAGCCAAACCAGCCAGGGCTTAAGAATTTTATTTTGTTTATTTAACCTTTGGTATTTCCTTGCTCCTCCCCCACTCTCCTTTCTGTTTCTTAATGTTCTCTATGGTGGTTTAGCTCAGTGCACCACCCTTCATCATCTTGCAGTCTGGCAAGGCTGTGTTATTAAAACCATGGCTGTAGATACAGCTCCAAAACCTCATGACCTTAATCAGTATAAACATTTGTCAGAAATATAGTACACTAGAGAGATAAGTTCCTGCCTTTTGCCTGGTCATCATGGAAGTTAGGAAAAGAAATGCTGCTGAGTTGCGTGTTATCTAACAATGTGTTGGCAACAAAAAGCTAAAAGTATAAACAAATCCTTTTCTTCTTGCTGCCAATTAGCAAATACTAACTCTATTCCTTGCTTACTGAACATACAAACTCATATGGACCCTTGCTTGTTTATGAAGCACATCATTTGTGCTTATTTACAGGCTTTCAAAGTACAAATTCTTTCACTCAAATGTGTAGACTCTTTAATAAACATCTACAATTTCCCCTTTGGACAGTTTTCACTAATGGACCCTAAGAACCATTTTATTTCCAATAGCATCCTTTCCAGTCCACCTTAATATTTTAAGTTATGCTTTTAAAAATAAATAAAATTGTCTAGTTTCACAGTGCCCAAAGTGTTCAGGCTGGAGATGTGATACTGTTTTCTTTGCTGACTGTGCCTGCATTCCCAGAACTCGATGTAAAAATGGCATTCAAGACTGTGCTGATTGGAGTGATGAAAATTTATGTGAAGAGACTTTTCTAATTTTCTATTGGAAAAGCTAAAAACTACTATTAGTTGCCTTAAGATCCCCCCCCCCACACACACACAAATGGACATATTTTTATGGGGGGGGGTAATCTACTATAGAAGCCAGTGTTATGGAATAGAGAAAAATAATGATTAGTAGAAATCAGACTCTCGACTTTAGTGACCTTGAACCCCTTTCTAAACTTGTTTCCAAAATTTAGAATGTAGCTTTCTGCCCTGTGCACACATGGTTATTATAGAGATGTCATACAAGGGTACTCTAGTTTGACTATTAAAAAAAAGTGAGGGTATTAATCAAAATCAATGTCTCTTTGTTAGTGCAGCCCTGGTTCAGATCCAGCTGAAAGCTAGTTTGGCCCAGTTAGTCTTAATAGTGGACAATAGCCAGCATGTAGTGACAACAGCAAAAAGTTCAACCAGATCAGAACCATCTGCCTTTCTAGGATGCCAGGGCCTGAAGTTCTCTCCAGTAGGTCCTGAGGTCAAGAGCAGACCTGGGTTTGAATCTCATCCTACCACTTAAAGGGATGTGATCTCACAAGAGCAATTTCACCTCTTGAAGACGGTTTCCTTGCCTGTACAAGGTGGTGCTTTTAGGGGATTATGTTAAGCAGTAAGATATAACACAAGTGGTACAGTGTTTAACATATAATAGTTATAGCAATTGTAATTTAAAAAAAAAATTGTAAGAATATGATAGATTGGCCCTGGCCTGATAGCTCAGGTTGGTTAGAGTGTCGTCACTATATACCCAGTTTTCGGGTTAGTTCCCCGTCAGACACATACAAGAGTCAACCAAACAATGCATAAATAAGTGGATCAATAAATCAATATTTCTCTCAAATAAAATTTTTAAAAAAGGAATATGGTAGATTATGTCGTTAAAAAATTAACTGCTATCCTGTTCTGGAAAGGGACTGTACTTCCCCAGTCCTTTTGGCCATCAGACTTGACTATGTACATGACTTGCTCTGGCTGATCAATGTGGTTATTAATAACGTGCATCACTTCCCAACACAAGTTTGAAGAGCCAGCTGGTTGTCTGCTATTTCTTTTCCCTATCCTGAGACTGCCAAGGTTCAGATTAGAGGCTGCTCCTGGGGGAAAGTGGGGCCCAGCCAGCCAAACCATTATCAAGTGCGACAAACCTTTATAGCAACTAAAAATTTTAGTCATTAGTAACTAATATAACCCTACCCATCTCAATATTGAAGATATTACAAGATCCCTCATTAATTCATAGCCACCAGCACATACCAGATTATGTCATGTATTGTCAATCCTCACCTGAGGATTTTTCTGATTTTTAGAGTGGAAGGAGGGAAAGGGGGAGGGGAAAGGAAGAAATGAGGGAGAGGAAGAGAACATGGATGTGGGAGACATTGATTGGTTGCCTCCTGTACATACCCTGTTGGGGGCCAGGGGTTGAACATGCAACCCAGGTACATGCCCTTGACTGGGAATCAAACTTGAGACCCTTTAGTGCAAAGGCCGACGCTCTAACCACTGAAACACATAGGCCAGGGCTGGTTTATTTAAATACACCAAAGAAATAACATCTTTAAAGAATGTTAGGCCCTGGCCAGTTCAGCACAGTGGTTAGAGCGTCGGCCCACAGACCAGAGTCCCGGGTTCGGTTCCCACTAAGTGCACATACCTCAGTTGCAGTTTGTCCTCAGCCACGGTGGGGGTCGTGGGTGGCAATCAGTCAATGTCTCTCTCTCACGTCAATGCCCCCCCCCACTCTATCTTAAGATAAATTCAAGTGTCCTCAGGTGAGGATAAAAAAAAATGTTACAACTCAAAGTTTGAGTACAGGCAAAACAGAATTAACCTTAGCCAGCAACTGCTACAAGCAAGTTGCCCTGGGATAGGCCTAGCCTGGAAACCTATTGCACTTTTCTGTTTAGTTCCTTACCTATACAAATCCAGTGTAAAAAAACTGGATATTCAGATAGTGGCATTCTTCAAATACTCAACGTCAGCCTGTCAATCACCCCAATTTCTTGGGATGAATACAGAACATCTCCAATTGTGCTATTCAAAGCATGGTCAGTGTACCTGCAACATCAGCATCACCTGGAAGCGTATCAGAAACATAAATCTCAGGCCCCACTCGACCATCCAGATCCTCTGCCCTTGTTTACCTATTTCACATGCTGTGGTTGGTTACCTATCATCTCACTCTGCCAGAAAGCCAAGTGTCCCAGAGGTTTTCCCATTAGTCTGGGACCAGGAGTGACCGAACCTAACCCACAATGGTCTGGAAACAGAATTGTTTTGAAATCTTATAAATCATTGAGGCTTTGGACTCCTTGTTACTGTAGCAGTGTAGTTTAACTGATACACATACTTTAAATAAAATAATACAATGTTAAAATATAAAAATACTGACACATTTCATTGATAGTCAATACTTTGATACAGCTAATAGAGTACCTTCAAAAGGTACTTGGAAGTTGGTATGAAAATTTAAAGTGAATTCTTATTGTTGAAGTAGAAACTAAGACAATTTCCAGTTGGCCTTAATGCAGAGCACACATTATTGTCTTACCATTTGTAAATTGTTAAAATTGCTTCAACATTATAATTGCTAATACACATTTTAAAAATGAGCTCTAGTATCAAGGGAACTTTCTGGTGATGAAACTGCTCAGTACCCTGGTTATAGTGGCAATTACATGTTAAAATTCTTACAACTTCATATATACGTCAATTTTACTGTAGGTTACTTTAAAAAGCAATTAAAAAAAAAAAGTAGCCTTATTCACTGTGATCACTTAAGGAAAAAGACAAGGTGATATTGCTATTACTTTTATCCCAGCTATTTTATAGAATATCCTACATAGGAAGGATTAACTACTTTTCCTTTTTTGAAGTAACGTACAGGTACATCTATAAAATGGAGCAACTAGTTCCTACTTCATAGATTGAGGATTAAATGAGAGAAAATTAAGTGTGATAGTACATAAAAGGCACTCAATATATGCTCACAATATAAACATTAAAAGAAAAAACCCTTGCTCACCCACGAAGGAGTAATTCTATTCCCGTCTTATAATCACACCCATCACATAAACCATGGAAGCCTTGAGGGCTACTGGAGAAATGTTTACAAACACGAGGAACTTTATACCACCTTTGTTACATTATACTATCATTTTAAATCTTTAATAAAATTCCATCAAAAAGTATGTCAAATTACATGCCATGATTAGCTTTCTACAAACTTTGTTTTCTGTGTACAATGTCAATGAAATACAAAATAAAACTATACTAGGCAAAGAACTTTATTAACCTGTTTCAAACTTTATTCCCAGGCCTCTTCAGCTTAATTAGCTGCAAAGAATGATTTATGTATAAGCAAAAACTGAAAAGAGCTGCAATGTCCAGGGGGGTTGGGCTAAAAAATATTAGAGATCTAGATTTTATCAGATCCATAAACAAAATTTGAAAAAAGCAGTCATAATATAGAATAGCTCCCAGTAACTTCTTCAAGATTATCTTCTTCAGAAGTTGACTCAATTCAGTTTGCCTCATTCTTGGAAGCCTCATCAAAATTCTCCACAAGATCTGAAAAAAGATAAAAAGAGGCAGAAACTCAGGGAGAAAAGTTAAATCTACAAATACAGCTCTTAAGAGGAAATCAGGAAATGCTCTCAAAATATATCCTACAGTTAAACCAGGATATCAATTTAAACAGTTTTTATTTTAAAGTATATATTTTGGCATATAATTAAAACAAGGGAAAGAGAAAAAGTCATTAATTAATCTGCCCATGGCACAAACACTGCACTTAAAGAATATGTATATACCCTCCAAGAATTAAACTTAAGCAATGTAACACATTAGTCAATGTGGGGGCTGAACTAAAAAGTACCGTGGCACACAATTCTCAAGTTTTCCTGGATTCTTAAGGACACCTGTCCATGCAAAGTGGAATTATTTATGATCTAGTGATTCAACTGCCCAATAAATATTTGTTTTACCACACATAAAAATTATCCAGTAACAACTAAGATGGAAAAATGCCTCATGACTGCCAAAGGAGCTTTTCTGCTGATTTTAGAATGATTATATCCCAAGATATCTGAATAACTTCTCCATGTCTTCTTATAAATTATATGGATCTCATAGGAGGAAACAAGGGTCACTTGTGATCTGTACCTAGTTATTACATTTAGGTAACAATATACATATACTTTATTCAATACTTAAGGTTAGTCGTCCCTCACCACTTTGCACTTTGACTTTCGTGGCTTCCCTCTATCAGTTTTTCTAATACTAACTATATTTGAAAAAAATGCAATAGAGTGAAGCCGCAGAAGTCGAAGCACGAAGTGGCGAGGGACGACTGTATAGTACATAAAGAATACTACTTTGCGGAAATTCATTTATCGCAGTAGTCTGGAACTGATTAACCGCAATAAACGAGAGGTGACTGTATATACCTCCAACTACTTGGGATCCTAAACAGAAAAAAGCCAAGCCCACAAACGTTAACTCCCAGTTAAATATCACTGCATTACTTTTCTCATTCTAAGTGATTGAGGTTTATGTCTCCCTTTCCCCCTCTTTACTCTATACCATCTCCCTCAAGGTAGTCTTCCCTACAGAATAAAAGTTTCTTTTTCTTTATTAGTATGAGAGAGAGAGAGAGAGAGAGAGAGAGAGAGAAAGAGAAACACTGATGAGAAAGAACACTGACAGGGTGCCTCCTGCATGCCCCCCAATGGGAACCAGGCCCACAACCCAGGCATGCGCCCTGACCAGGAATCAAACTGGCAACTTCTTGGTGCAAAGGTCAATGCTCAACCACTGAGCCACACCGGCCAGGCAGAAAAAAGTTTCTTTATTCTTCCGTGCTAAGATTCTCCAGTTTAACCACAAGTGAAGATCCCTACCTGGAACTTCATCATCATCATCCTCTCCAGTAGCAAGTGGTGCTTTTCCATCCACAGCTGTGTAACAGGGAAATGTAAACGTTACTCACACAGTTGTCTGTCTTCAATAAACATTAACCAAAAGAAGTACAGATGAAAAGTTTATATTCATCATATGACATCTGGGATTTCATCTATAGTACCAGCAATAAAAATGAGCCAGAACACTAGTAACAGCCAACAAACCAAAGTCTATACCCATCCTTTCAATCCTCTGGCCCACCACAGACACTGAGGTAGTATGAGAATAAGGCGCTCCCAGGGCACAGGTAAATCCACACACCAAATATGGTAAGCTTTATTTGGGGAGGCAAATTAAAAGGCTGTTTTCTCAAATACTCTGTTGTGTTGTGCATGGTATAAGAGACAAACCTTTACCGAAATGCAAATAAAATGATCACCAAACCAGTATTATGTGATATGCTGAAGGGTCTTCTTGAACATGATAAAAAATACAAACAATAAAATGGCAACAAATACATATCTATCAACAATTGAACCTACAAAAAAAATGAACAAGCAGAACAGAAAAAGACTCAGATAGATGCAGAGAACTTTTGTTGGTTTCCAGATGGAAGGGGGGCTGGGCAAAAAAGGTGAAGGGATGAAGAAGTACAAATTGGTTGTTAGACTGAGGAACCTCAGAGGGAAGGGAGATGGAGGGAAAAGATAAACCAAAGAACTTATATGCATAACAAATGGACACAGACAACAGTGTGGGGAAGGAGGTGGCAGGTAAGAGCAGGTAGGAAGGGGTCAGTGGGGGGAGGACACATATAATATTTTCAACAATAAAGATAAAAAAATTTTTTAATTGTCTTTTGAGTGGTAAGCATCCAGTTTCCTTTTATTAAACAAGAAAGTGAACTACCATACACCTGACAGTTGGGACCTCACAGTACTAACCCCATATGGTTTTTCAGTGGGCTGTTTCAAATACCTATTTCAGCTCTGAAAGCTTAAGACTATCTCTTATGCCTCTCAATGTGACAAAACAATATATAAATTGAAGCAGAGAGAGTGAATGCCTAGGAAACATGGATGACTAAATAATAAACCATATAATAAGCCTGTCTATATTCCCATTCTTCAAAATTTTAATCAGAGGGCTTCAGCATAAAGTAGCCATACTCCTGAGACACACTTACTCATCTATGCGATTTTTCTGCCTTGAACAAAATCCGTATCATACTATTAAAAACACCAGAATAATGGCAGGCCAATTAGATACAACTGAAGAAACCTGATAATTTATAATTTAAAAAAATTGATTTATCTTGATTGTTGAGGGTATTACAGATGTCCCTTGTTCTCCCCCCTCCACTACCTCCTCCACCTAGTTCCCACTCCACCCCAGGCCTTCACCACACTATTTGAGTACATGGATTATGTATATAAAACTCTTTGGTTATTCTCTGCCTGACCCCTCCCCCTTTCCCTTTGAGATCCATCAGTCTGTGCCATGCTTCCATGTCACTGGGCCTATTTTGTTCATTAGATTCTCCATATAAGTGAGATCATGTGATACTTGTCTTTCTCTGACTGGCTTATTTTGCTTAGCAAGTATTCTACAGGTCCCTCCAAGCTGTCTCAAAAGGTAAGAGATCCTTCTTTTTTACACCAGCTGGTAGTATTTTAAAGTCTCTCATCCAAAGCAAGAAAACTAGTAGGAAACAAACAAGTATAATAATCACAGCATACTAAATTATTGAATACACTAAGAATACTTGCTTAAAATCAGTGTAAAAGCTGGTATTTTTTAGAGGAAAGGCTGAATTTCCAAATATGAGAAGATTCACATCCCATTTGCATTCTGACATCTTAGAAATCTATTGATAAATCAGTAACCCGTACAAAACTCACATTGTTTGGGCAGAGCTTCAGCCAGTCTCCTTAAACTAGTCAGACTGTCTGCACCAAGCTGGTTTAAGATGCTGGGTAGCATTTCTGTCAGCTGCTTTGTCTCAGCATGGCCTGTAATGGTGAAAGTGTTCGCTGCCAGAGATGCCTGAACTTTAGGATTGTTAAAGTGGATCACTGTTCCTTGGTTTGTGAACATATTTACCTATAAAGAAAAATTGTTTTAAAAAAATTAGCAATGCCCACCAAATTCCCTTTAAATCCAAATATTTTATTAAACAAAAACTGAAGTCTGGCTAACTAATCTAGTATTTCACTGTGAAGCAGAAGTGGAATGGCAAGCACAATCTCCCTGACACTCATCAACAGAATAGAAACATCTTAGAGGAATACAAAACATTCTGTTTAACATACTGTAGAGTAATGAGGAAAAAAAAAAAGTCATTTAATGAATTAACATTAAAGCTTTTTTCAGACAAATCCTGTTTTCATAAAGAAATAAAACTTGACACTTACCTCCTCAATACCAGAAATATTATTTACCCCTAACTTCTTTAAGGAGAACTGAAGTTTTTTATCATCTGCTGTAGCTGTTCTGTGAACCACCTTCTTCTTTCTACGAGCAGTTCCCTAAAGTGGGGAGAAAGGAAAGAACACAGCACACATTTATACCATAACAACAGACATTTTCAAACAGAAACAATTTCAGATTCCTTTCTGACCTTTGGCTCTGTATAAGAAAATCACCACGACCACAAACTTTTATGCCGTGAGTCGGTAGGTTAAAGCAATGATGGAAGTCAAAAGAAGGAAAGGAATTGACTACAAATCCTTAATAATTTCTAAAATTCTAGTTTTGTCAGATATAAATGAATGATCTTTTCAAAGTCCTACTTTTCTCCCCCATTGATTTTTCAGAGAGAGTGGAAAGAAGGAAAAGAGGGAAGGGGGAGGGTGATGGTGGGAGGGAGGGAGCAATACATGGATTTGAGAAAGACACATCAACTAGCTGCCTCCTGTACACGCCCCAACCAGGGCCAGGGATCGAACCTGCCACCCAGGTACATGCCTTTGATCACAAATAGAACCCTCAACCTTTCTGTTTGAGGGCCAATGTCCTACTTTTTACATTAACTGCTCTAAAGTGCTCAAAGAGGTGGCATGTGTCAACCTAAATTAAGCTTCCTTTAGAAGCTCAATATCCAGAACTACTAACTTTTCTGGGTTTTTTTGCACAAATCAAAGAAAAACCAACAGCTGTTAATACTCATAGGCAAGACAGTGTATAACACAAATGTCTGTACAGACTTCTATAGCACCCAAGAGAAAAAATCTAAAATTTTTATTTTAATATTGATCTGTCCTGCCCCCTACTATGCCACTCTTGACCACACACATCTCTTATCACACACACAAACTCATCTTCAGCCAAATAAACCTCTTTACTGTTACTAACACAAGCCAAACAGGAGTTCTTGGACACTGTTCTTCTTTCCTATCATCTGTATGGCTCCTTCTCTCACTATAAATTTTTGCTTTGTGTCACCATATCAAGAGTGGCCTTTCCCAACGACCCAATATCAAATACCAGCTCCACTACTCACCATTTTCCATCTATCCAGGTTTACTTCTCTTTACAACACTTATTACTGATGGAGATAAGTATACTTTATTGTCTACCTCACTAGCATGTCAACTCCTTGAAGGCTTCTATTCTATCTGCTATAAAACTCAGTATTTAGAAGTGTATCTGGCTCATTGAAGGTACTCAGTAACTTGATGAGTGAATAAATACAGACTTTAGGAAAACTTGTGGTCTCATACATATATGTCAAGTATTCAATCTCCCCTTTCTCTAAAATATCCTATAAACTTCCAAAACCAGAAAAAATGTGACCACCTATATTCTGCTTAAATCCCTTTAGCCATTTACACTGTATACAAGGCTCTTCACGAAAAGATTAGCACCCACCTACCTCACTGTCCCCAACTTCCACACCAATTTTGATCATCCTTTAAAATGCTGCTCAAGCCATTATCTCTCCTGTGCTTTCCCTAAACTCTACAATGAATAACCCCACTCAGCTAAATCACTCCCATCTCTATATCTTGAAAATGCTTCTCTTGCACTATGTGTATTACACTGTGAAAAAGATATTAAAAAAAAAAAAAAAAAGCTATCTCCCCTACTAAACTTAAAGCCCCCTAGACACTTTAAACTACCTAAATTTTGTATTCTCAGGATCCAGCATAGTAAAAGCTTAAATAAACCATAGTTTAACTGAAGAAAAAATCAGAGTTACACAGAAATCCCCTACCCCAAAAAGCCTTTAAAAATAGCAAGTACCTTGAAGTGGTCATATAGATACCTGGTTTCCAGAGAATCCTCTCTGAAACACATGCTAAGAAACTACTATAGGATTCTAAAAGTAAAACCAGCATACCTTCTATAGTTTTCATACACAGGGTTCAATTTTCACTGAAATAATTATCATTTATGCTCTGATCAGACACTGAAATAAAGAGTTTTTATAACACTTACCTAGAAGTATCTAACACTTGTTATTTTCTCTAAGGCAAAACTCACCTAATTTCACATCCCATAACTAGCAGGTTTCTTAAAAGCTGAAGAAAATGTTTCCACATTACAATGACAGAAATACTTACCCTATTAATAAATAAGTCAAGTTTAATCCTACATCAGCCTCAAGAATCCTAGGAAAAAACCCTGACTCTCTTTTACCTAGAATAGAATGATTTCTCTCACAAGTTAAAGATGAATGATCCAAGTAACAACAAAAAATGGCACATTCAAATTACTCCTTCTGAAACCTGCACTAAAAGGCACGATGGTTAAAAATATCATAAGAGCCTGTCTTGTGTAGCCCATTGGTTGAGTGCTGACCCATACACCAAGAAGTCGCTGGTTCGATTCCCCCTCAGGGCACATGCCCAGGTTGTGGGCCCGATCCCCAGTGGAGGGCATGCAGGGGATGGCCGATCCATGTTCTCTCTCATCAATGTTTCTATCTCTCTCCCTCTCCCTTCCTCTCTAAAACCAATAAAGGAAAAAAAAATTTATATTTAACAACAACAAAAAGCATCATAAGAGAATCCAAACATTGGCCCACAAAGAATATGATGAGTTTTTGCTGGCACTTGAAGGCCACACCTAGCTTATAATTGCTAAACAGAACAAGAAACACCTACTGTTTTTAATAGGTAGGTATGGATCTTGAATACTACTAGCTTCGGGGGTGAGGGGGAGGATACATACACTGCTGGCAAAGTCGAGTACTTAACAGATGTACATCTCTACTATTTAAGTGCAAACTTTGGCTATTGCACTGTAGATTCTACTTGAAGTTAATGGAAAAAAACTAATAGAGAATAAACTTGTAGTACAGTACAGAAGCTTTTACCATACAAGTGAATACCTTACAAGTTTTACCAAGTGAAGACATGCTCTGTTCCAACAGGCTATCCCACACCTTGTTAAATAGTAGGAATGTGCTAACAATGCAAAATATAACCAGGTAACCCTCTGTCTAGAGTGGACTTCCAATTTATGTAAATTACTTAAAGAACAACCTCAAAACTTACTAAGTTCAAAAAAGAATCCCCTTGAGGGCCTCAGTATCCACCAGTAAAAAAAACACCAATCAACCAAAAACTGATCATTTAAAAACTCCCCACTCTATCCCTTCAGTTTTAGTGAAATTGCAAAGTCAAAATGAAAAGACATTCACTTAGGCAGTATTTTCAAATCCCTAGTCACTGCTTTTAAATTCCAAAAAGGTCTTCAAGTACACCAGAAATATACAACTACTGCACTGGACTGCACTAGCTAAGGAAACATTACAAAAAGGTCTTAATTTACAAAAAGACACCAACTTCTCACTAGTAAGTCGACTGCATACAACTGAGGCCAAAACAAGTCAGGGGTATGATGCCCACAGTGATATGTAACTGAAATGACACATTACCTTAGGAAACACTTTTGTTCTACTTAAAACACTGTAACACTGGAAAGTATATTTACATAAAAACAATGTTTGCAGTTTAAGTACTCTTTCCCATCGACTCACTTGCTTTTTTTCCTTTGATTATACAACCTGCATGTTTCACCGACACGTTATAGTGTACATCTAATTTAATCCGCAGCTCTCCTCACAATTTGCTAGATCTGTGAAATGCCCTCTGTAGATAAAGTGACAGGCCATAGATATTAGAAATGCAAAGGAAAAAAACCTAAACCTTAAAACTTACTTTCCCACCAATGCGCACTTGTGCCTGCAGTTTGGCGAGTTTCTCCTGGTTCATGATAGTTTCTTTCATCTAGAAAAACAGGAAACCCTCAGCGAGGAAAAGGTCTAGTTCACGCTAGCATTCCACGCTCGTTATTTCCTAACAAACCCAACAAATGTCCCGCACAGGCCGAGGCCTGGATCCCAAATCCACCCCGCAAAGGTCCCAATTTCAGTTTGCAGAGGGCCCAAAGAGCACCCACCTTCCTACCCGCCCCTCCCAACAATTCCCCCCTTTACAGGCCCGGGAAATGGGGTCTAAACCACGCCCGGGCAGCACCCCCCGCCCCGGCCCGGCCTAGCCAGGGCCTGCCCGAACCGGCCACTCTCCGAAAGCCTCGCGGTACCTGAGGCTCCGGTCCTCGGGTTCCGCCGCGAGGTGGAGGAAGAGACGGCGTCGCCTCGCCCCCAGGGCAGCCGCCCCTGGCTCGACCTCGACCCCGAGAGTCAGCCTGAGTGGGTGCGCCTGTCCGTCGCATCGCCTTCCTCTCCTCAGCCCTGTCCCTCCCTGTCTCGCTCCTTCCGGGCACTTCCCGCCCCCGTTCCCGTCCTCCTCCCACGCCGGCGTCCACAGCCTTTTTGTACCTTGTTGGAGAGGAAACGGGGCCGCGCGGGGGACTAGGGTTGGCGCTCAGGGGGTCTTGGGCAGACCAGCTGAGAATAAGCGCACACACGCGGGGACGCAAGATGGCAGCTAGAGAGCGGCCGGAAGTGACGCAAGGCCACTTCCGTGAAAAGTCAGGAAACGGACTTCGCCACGAGCTCAGGGCTTTGCTGCGCAAGCGCGTCCCTAGGACGCGGGGTTTGTGACCGTCGCGCGTGGACGTCCTTCTCATTCTGCGCTGGCCGGGTGGCGACCACACTAGAGACTGGGCTGGAGGCACCGCGAGTAGCCCGGGGAAGGCCATAGAGGGGTCAGAGAGCACGGTTTCTTGCACAGTGAGGGTCGAGTGAGTCGGCCCTGTCTCCCTCGATCCTTGTTCTTTACTCGCAGAAGGAAGAGACTGTTCAGGTTTGCGGAAACGCTCGGGGCGCCCAGTGTGTGCTCACTCCTATAGCCGCTGGCGGCTCGCTGCGTGACGTAGGTTGGAGCCATCTTCTGAATGTTTTAGGATTTACCCTTCGGCCCCAGTGAGCCTTTACCAAAACGTCTTGTCAAAACTTTGTCAAAAACAATGAAGCTAATTTTGCTTTCTAAGGTTAGGTGGTTTGTTATGTTGCAGGACCATGGTTCGAAATTTCTGGGGAGCGTGTTCAGAAAGCGATTCAGTCGGACTGGGGATAGGACCAGGTAATCTGCATTTCGGCAAGCGGAGCAGGTGGCAGCTCACCTGAGACCCGTGTACGTGATTACCGTCTCTTGTCTCTGTAACGGACCGAAAGTTGTCTCGCTTGGCATATATTTAACAACTAGCGAGTCACAATTCAACAAACTACTTTTCTTAACTAGTAAGTCAATCAAAGAATTTGTGCCCAGTGTGTTTGGAGAGGCTAAACTGGTGTAAGTTGAAATGTTTTCAACGCTAGGACAGGTGTTAAGACAATCTTAACGTAAAACGACTGATGTTAAAAATGGAAATTTAAATCAAAATACTGAGATCAGCCTTTCTGTGAACTTAGCTATGAAAAAAGCCTTTGCACATTCAAAAATGAGCTCGAAATCTTAGCTAGAGAAAATACAATTTATATAGCAACAAACGTGTAGGTGCAGATTTCTCTATTTAGGTTGTCTCTTTTAAAGATAATTGTAACAGGTGATATTTTCTCAAAAAACAATGTTGCTTCTATTATTAAATATGAATCAAGTGTAGCGCAGAAAAGGGTGTTGGTATTGTCAAGCTATGTGGGTCACTGTCCTAACAATAAAGATCAAAATGACTGTGCCAACACTGTTCAGTGCTATGGAAATGTTACAAAATGCATAGAAATACTCCCCTTTTTGAAACTTTATCTCTGTTCAGGAACGATTTTTTTCCCCCTTTATGTTATAATGGGTGTATTCGAGGCTTCCTAGTCATGTGATGTTTTCTGAGTATTTACGTAAACACAAAGTTCTGATTCACCTTTCAAACACCTGTTTTCAGGAAATATTTCAGGTTAATTTTTAGTTTCTTTTGGTTCCCACTTTTCTCTGTTCTTTTGTAACTTTGACTTGTACCATGTTGAAAATCCTAAAAGGTTCCCTAATAATAAAAAAATAATATATTTTGGTTTCTTCAACTGCTTCTGCTTATTTTCTGATGCTAATTTTATTAGGAGAATTATGCTTCTGCTAATATTTATATACCACTTTGCAAAAAATAATTTTTTAAAACTATAAGAGTTACTAAGTTGCTATCTTAGCTCAAGGATGGCAAAGGAGTAATTTACATGCTTCTATTTTCTGTGTACTCTTAATGCTTATGGCAAATAGGGATGACTGGCCCCACATTTTACTGCTAAGCTTGAACAAGCCTAAGAATCATTTAGTCAGCATGAGTAGGCAAGAAACAGGAAACCTGTTTTCCCTCCTTGGTTTATAGCTTATCGTCTAATCAAAGTTCATAAATTGTTTTCATGTCACAGTTGGACTTGAGTCTGCTTCAGCAAGAGCTAAAATGTTTATATTATGTTCAATTCTGAAAAGTCCTATTTTACTATGGATAAATGTTACTATGCCTTTAGTTGCTTCATGATGTGGCTCTTGGCTGATAGCCACAGTGGGCTTTTTGTATGCTTGTTTCTAAACCTCCTTAAACTCTCCTAGCACCACTTTTGTCATTTAGCTTTCAGTTTAAATGTCTCAGAAAAGCCTTGTCTGACATCCTCAACCCCATTAAGTTACAGTCATTATAGTTGTGGTATTTTGTTAAATGCAAAATGAGAGGTGGATAATTTTGTTGAGTTAATGGATAATTGAACTAGGATTATTAATAACAATCTCCCACTAATTTAATATTGAGTGCTGGCTCTTTGGTCGTTGGATCCTCAGCAATCTTATGAATTAGGTAGTTCCCATATTACTGGTGAGGGAACTGAGGCTTTGAGAGTTACAGGTGTGAAAATAGACACAATCTCATCTCCCTTCCACCAAATCTATCCATCTGTATGTATCTGAACTTATAAATATTGCCTTCACTCTTGTCACATATGGGAGAAATATTTCCTCTATTTGTATTTTGTTTCATTCAGGACCTTGATTCTTCTATTACTGTTTTCCTCCTGTATCTCTGTTTCCCCCTTTTCAACTACATCATTCTGCTAATACACTAATATGCTGTAGTATCAGGTACCTAAAAAGAGAACAAATTCAGTTCTCATTTTAGCCTTTAGGTAGCATTTGACACATTTGACCATTCACACATTTTTGAAACATTTTCTTTAGACTTCCAGAACATCTCACTGCCTGATTTCTTCTAAACCTCATGGCATTTTCTCAATCTACTTTATCTTTTTTCACGGACTTCTAAATATTAGAGTTGCTCACATCTTAGTCCCATTTTCTTTTCTTTTTATTTTTATTGCATGATATTTTTATTCAAGCCACCCAACTCCTTATATATACATCTGCAAAAATGTGGTTCATGGTGAAATAGTTTATAAGTGTTTCTAGCTACAGGACATTATTCTTTTCTATCTGTACTCTCCCAAAATGGTTTCCATCTACTCCCATGGCTTTTAATGTCATCTTTATTTTGATGAGCCCCAAATTTATAACTCAGACCCTACCTAACTTTTTGAACATCAAACTGAATATTCTTTTTACATTATTATGGAAATTTTCAGGCACACAAAAGTAAAGATCATAAGATGAACCTACATAAGCCCATCACCCAGCATCATCTAGTATTAAATTAATATGTAGACTCAATATTTTTAATATATGGTAGGGTCAGTACCTTTTTTTTTTTTTTTTTTAAGTTGACATATTTGCAGACCTTTATTCCATATACATTTTAGGTTTTGCTCCTTTTAAAATTTTTAATTGGGATTTATTGTATAGATTAATTTGGGAAGCTTTTGTATCTTTACTAATTGTTGTATGAGTCTGCATTCAGTTGAAAGAAATATATCTGGCTATTTTATTTATCTCTTTTTTTAATCCTCACCCGAGGACATTTTTTTCATTTTTTGATCAGATAGAGTGGGGGAGAGAGAGAGGAAGAGAGAGGGAGAAACATCAATGTGAAAGGGACACATCGAGTGGTTACTACCCGCACAACCCAACCAGGGCCGAGGACAAACTGCAACCGAGGTACATGCCCTTAGCGGGAACCGAACCGGGTCTCTCTGAGCCACAGGTCGACGCACTAACCGCTGAGCCAAACCGGCCAGGGCTGGCTATTTTAAATATAGGGAATTGGTGCTTAGAAATTTGTTTAAAGGGCTGGAGGTGTGGGTTTTAGTGTAGGTTATCAGTAATAAACCTCAGGATAATAGTGCAGAACTGGGCTGTTAAAGGAGCTGCTACCACTGCCCCCATCCATTTAGGAAATAAAGAATCAAGACCCCACAATAGGAGTTTCTGATGTTAAGAATTCACTACTGTAGCTATAATTCAGGAGTAAAAAATATATACTGTAGCAAAAAATACTCAAAACCCGAAAAGCAATGATTGTGTCCTACAAAGCTGCTGCAGAAAATACTATTATCTTCACCAACATGCTTGCCAAAAAACAAAGCAGCAGGAAGAAGGCTTTTGCCTTACTTCTACCTTCCAAATCTTACTTAAATCTACCTAATTAGCAGAAATCATTTACCAGTTAGAATCCTAATTGCAAGGATGTCTGGAAATGTAGTTTTTACCAATCTACCTTATGCACCCAAATTTTCACATCCACAAACAAGTGCATCTATTTTTTCAAATCTTTTATGTATTTTAATAGAGAAAACCTAAAGATCTTGTGCTTTCTTTGTTAACTGTACTACCAGATACAGTCTTTATATTTTGTTTCTCCCATTTTAGATATTGCAAATATCCCTCCTGGTCTGTTAAAGTTGTCTGTAGTACCTGTGTTGAATAGAAATATATCGCTTTTTGACCACAAGGTGATCCAGCCATGAATTGAAAGAAAATAAAAAGGACAGAAAATAGGTTAAATTATTCCACAGAATGCAATAAAAAAGTCAAGTTACAGAAAATGACAGGACAGTTAATCTGCTATTTCAACAAATAAATTCCAAGGGAAAAAAGAAAAGAAGGGATTCTTTAGATAAAAAGAGACCTAAGAGACAAAGGTAAAACAATAGTGTTTAGGGATGCAGGTATAGGTAATACAACTGAAAAGGAAGGAATATCATAAACATCAGAATAGTAATTGTTCTTGGGAGGAGAAAGGAGATTGTAATTGGGAGGAGACACCTGGCAAATGCAACGTTGCTAGGGTTGCAAGGATTTCTCTTCTGATCTGTGTAGAGGGTATTCAGTTTTCCATATTTGCTGTACGTAACAATAAAAGGTTTTTTAAATCACACAAAATGACATATGTGATACATATTGAAGGTCACTTTTTAACATTAGTGTTGTATGAGGGGAAATATATGCGTATTTGCTCTTTGTCCTGGATTTCTAGGCCACAGCTCCTAAAACCCTTGACACGTTAAGAGTGTCTTTTGTTTGCTAATGAGATAACTAGTATGCTGAGGACCCCTAGATAGCTTCAGGACATGGCTGGTTGCTAAAAAGACCAAGGCATGATTAGAGGGTTGATGGTTGGAATTTTCAGTCC